ATTGATGACATTTTGAAAATTTCAGGAAAAGTTAAGCAAAAAAAATAAAAGATGAAATTGTTGCAGATGGTATCTTTGTGTAGAGAAGGAAAAAAAAAATGTAAGTTTTTTGATCATGCAGTTTGCTCTTGTTTAAGACCTGTCTTTTTGGATCATGGTTTGCCCCTAAGTTTTTGTTGTTGTTGTTGTTAATAAAGGCCAACTTCAGTATCTGATTTAAACAAACCAGGCTGGACTTGTCAGTTGCTCTGGTTTCATCACATAAAGGATACTTTATTGTCTGAGGCTGTGCTTAGCTGTCTTGAATAGCTAAGTTCATCAACCCAGGCATACCTTGTTTTATTGCTCTTTGCTTTACTGTGCTTTGTAGATGTCTTTGTTACAAATTAAAGGTTTATGGCAACCCTGAGTTGAGCAAGTCTATTAGCACCATTTGTTCAACAGCATATATTCACTTTGTGTCTCTGTGTTACAGTTTGGTAATTCTTGCAATATTTCAAACTGGTTTGATGATGATTATATCTGTTATGGTGCTTTGTAATCAGCGATCTTTGATGTTACTATTGTAATATTTTGGGGTGCAATAAACCACACCCATATAAGGCAACAAACTTAATAAATGTGTGTGTTCTGGCTGCTTCACTGACTTGCTGTTCCTCCATCTCTCTCCCTCCCCTTGGGCACCCCCTTCCCTGAGACACAACAGTATTTAAATTAGGCCAATTAATAATCCTAAAATGGTCTCTAAGTGTTCACATGAAAGAAAAAGTCTCACATCTTTCATTTTGAATCAAAAGCTAGAAATGATTAAGCTTAGTGAAAAAGGCGTGTTGAAAACTGAGACAGACCAGAAACTAGGCCTCTTGTGCCAAAAAATTGTGAATGCAAAGGAAACATTTTTGAAGAAAATGAAAAGTGCTACTCTAATCAACACATGAATATGAAGCAAGACAGCGTTATTGCTGAGATGGAGAAAGTTTGAGTGTGAGTGGTCGGGACTGAAGATCAAACTAGCCGCAATATTTCCTTAAATCCTAATCCAGAGCAAAGCCCTAACTCCTTTCAATTCTATGAAGGCTGAGAGAGGTAAGGAAGCTGCAGAAGAAAAGTTCAAAGCTAGCAGATGTTGGTTCATGAGATTTAAGGAAAGAAACCATCTCCATAACAAAACTGCAAGGTGAAACAGCAAGTGATGATGTAGATGCTGCAGCAAGGTATGCAAAGGATCTAGCCAAGATCATTGATGAACACCACATTTTCAATGTAGCAGAATAGTCTTCTATTGGAAGAAGAGGCCGTCCTTCGAAGCTTTGAAGCCAGTCATTGACTTCTTTCTAGCACTTTCACAGCTAAAGAGAAGTCAATGCCTGCCTTCAGAGCTTCAAAGGATAGGCTGACTCCCTTGTTAGGGGTTATTACAGCTGGTGTTTAACCTGAAACCAGTGCTTACTTACCATTTTGAAAATCCTAGGGCTCTTAAGAGTTATGCTAAATCTACCCTGCCCCTGCTCTATAAATGAGACAAAGCCTGATAATAGTACATCTGTTCTCAGGATGGTTTACTGGATATTTCAAACCCACTGTTGAGATTTACTGCTCAGAAACAAGAATTCTTTCAAAATGTTACTGCTCATTGAAAACGCACCTGGTCACACAAGAGTTCTGATATGTACAATAATATTAATGTTGTTTTCATACCTGGTAACAGGATCCATTCTGCAGCCCATAGACAGGAGTAATTTTGACTTTCAACTTTCAAATCTTATTATTTAAGGAATACATTTCATAAGGATATCACTGCCATAGATAGTGATTCCTTTGATGTATCCAGGCAAAGTGAACTGAAAACCTTCCCAGAGGATTCACCCTTCTAAATGCCATTAAGAATATCTGTGGCCAGGTACAGTGACTTACGCCTGTAATTCCAACACTTTGGGAGGCCAAGGCCTCCCAAGAGGAGGTCAGGAGTTCAAGACCAGCCTGGCCAACATGGTGAAATCCTGTCTTTACCGAAAATACAAAAATTAGCAGGGTGTGGTGGTGCACACTTGTAGTCCCAGCTACTTGGGAGGCTGAGCCAGGAGAATCGCTTGAACCCAGGAGGCGGAGATTGCAGTGAGCTGAGATCACACCACTACACTCCCGCCTGAGTGACAGAGTGAGACCTCATCTCAAAAAAAAAAAAAAAAACACCCAGAACCCAAAGAACAAACAAAGATAAGAATATTTGTGATTACAGGAGGAGGTCAAAATATCAACATTAGCAGGAGTTGAGAAGAACTTGATTTCAGCCCTTATGAATGACTATGAGAGGTTCAAGACTTACTGGATGAAGTAGCAGATGTGACGGAAATAGTAAGAGAACTAGAATTAAGAGTGAAGCCTGAAGATGGGTCTGAATTGCTGCAATCTCATGATTAAAATTCAATGGATGATGAGTTGTTTCTCATGGATGAGCAAATAAAGTCATTTCTTGAGATAAAATCTACTTCTGCTGAAGATGCTGTGAACTTGTTGAAACGACAATAAAAGATTTAGAATGTTACATAAACTTAGTTGATAAAGCAGTTGCAGAATTTGAGAGGAATGACTGCAATTTTGAAAGAAATTCTACTGTTAGTAAAATGCTATCAATCAGCATCTTATGCTACAATGAAAGCTTTCAGGAAAGGAAGAATCAATTGATGTGGCAAACTTCATTTTTGTCTTATTTTCAGAAATTGCTGCAGCCACCCCAACCCTTAGCAAGCATCACCTGATCAGTGAACAGTCATCACCTTCCAGGCAAGACTCTCCACCAGCAAAACGACTGCAACTTGCTGAAAGCTCAGATGATCATTATAATTTTTTTAGTAATAACTTTAGTATGAATTGGGAAACAAAAAATGGTGGGACTTACTTTATTGCAGTATTTGCTTTATTGTAGTGGTGTGGATCCAAACCTGCAATATCTTCAAGGTATTCCTGGATGGCTATACCAATGATGCATCTGGAACAGGGGAAATAATCATAAGATGGGATCAGGGACCTGCTGGGCTAACTTCTCTGGCTCCAATCTTGCTTTTTCTGTGGAAAATATGGTCATTCTCAAATGCCTCCCAGATATTTCTGGAAGTCCTCATGGACCCTTCACATGTACTCCTGAAACCACATGGCATCTGCCATTATTTTATTTTCTTTGTTCTTGCTGTCTGGGATGATTATGCCCCACAACCCTGGCCATTGTTGCTACTGCTAAGTCAGGTTATGGCTGCTGTTGTCTACAAGGGCACACAACCCTTGCTTAAGGCCAAGGGTGCCATCTTTGTTCACAGCTGAAAATGTGACACAACTTACTATCTCATTGTCTGTGCACTGGAGACTCTGGTGAAATAGCTCCTTTAGATTTTGCTGAGGAAGGACTGAGTAACAGTCAAGAATGTGCTCTGAATCACCTTTCCCCTCTAATGATGCCCATATTCCATCAACAAAACATGTGCACTTCAACCCTTTCTGTCTTCAGGTGAATTCTTTCTCAAGAAGGCTATTTCCTTTTACCTGCCAGTCAGCTAGACCTATGCTACTCAAACGTGGTCCACAGACTGGGCTGTTGTGCACACTCTTTGCTAGCAAGATAAGTACAGAAATGCCTGTTTTAAGTGTTGAAAAACTTACAACAATTTAACATAGTAACTTTGTGTCTGTTGAATCTGATAATAGTAAACTGGGATTGTGATATTTGTATTTTTTGCTTGATTTTTCTAGTAATTTATTGAATTTTATGAGATCTCAGTCTGTGATAGATTATAAATTGAAAAAAAAAAAGAAAGAAAGAAAGAAAATCAGATGCTTTGCCGCAGATGGTTTAAGAAACTCTGCTTGACATTATGGTCAGACAGCCTGAATTCATAGTGAGCAGAACGTAGGCTCAGCCTGGCACTCTGCTATGTAGTATACATGACTAGGAAGAGTTTGGTAGAAACATGGATTTGCTGCAGAGGATCTGAAGTAGTGGAAAAGGAAGGAAGTAGAACTGACCTTCTCCGTATAATAGTTCTCTTGCTTTCTGCCTGAAACAGGGACAGAGCATAATGCCCTGACCTGCATGCCAAGCACTTGTGAGAGATAAGGAGAGAGGAAACCACTCTCTTGCATGCCATGTGGTTGGGAAAAGAAGGGTCCTGCCCTACTGAGTTCTCTGATGTCCAGCTGTTCTGGCATAGGGTGAAGGTTTCCCCCAGAAATAGTACAGATGCTCCTTGACTTATGGTGGGGTTCCATCCCAATAAGGTCAAATTAAATCAAAGATATCAAAGGAGGAAATGTATTTAATACCCCAATAGACCCTTTGTGAAGTTGAACAATCCTAAATCAAATCATGATAAGTCAGGGACCATCTGTATTAGCCCCTCACCATGCTGGTGTCTCCATTCGTCCAGAGAAAACTGCTCCTGTGGGCCAAGATCTTCCCAGAGGGAATTCTGAGAATAACTGCTAATACTCTGTCTTAATAAGTTCATACCTGTTAGCAGACAGGTCATAATGCAGATATCCGACTCTCTTTTCTCCCATATTCCCCCGCTCTGATCTGCCATTGGCACAAAACATCCTCCCTCTTTTTGGACTTGGAGAAATAGCTGAGGAACCCTCACAGGCTCCACTTAGGAGTTAGAATCATTTCTTTGCAGGAATGCTGAGGGCAGGCAAAACACCTAGCCTAGTACTAATTACATAGCAGATACATGTTAGCGCACCCTTTTCATGTCAAAACTCTCCAACAAATTGTTTTATCCCCTGCTGAAGCACCTGTTCCATCATATAGCTTTATGTACTTCTCTTACAGTAATTGTCTTATTTACTGCTATATATATATATATATATGTTTATCGTTTTGTCCATATTCAACCAAGAACTCCTTGAGGTCTTGGACTATTTCTTCAACTTCCAATCCTTTGTGGTTAATAGTCTAACTGAAGTGAATTCTTCATTGCTATTTATTATATTAATCAGTTGTATATTTCTTTCAAGTTACAAATATTAAAATATATTTAATAGCAAAATAGTACATACACAGCAAAATCATGCTCTTTTTAATAAACAGAGTCAAAGAATATAAATAAACAGGTTATGTTTTATAAAAGGTAAACATAGTAAAACACAGTATTACACACAAAGAAACACATTTGTTTCTAAGAAAACAAACATAGAACCATACACATCCTTGAGGATTCATTTGTAACTTCTGGTTTGTTTGTTGTTGTTGTTGTTTTTGAGACGGAGTCTCACTTTGTCACCCAGGCTGGAGTGCAGTGCCACGATATTGGTTCACTGCAACCTCCACCTCCTGGGTTCAAGCAATTCTCCTGCCTCAGCCTCCTGAGTATCTGGGATTACAGGCACCTGCCACCGTGCCCAGCTAATTTTTGTATTTTTAGTAAATACAAGGTTTCATCATGTTGGCCAGACTGGTCTCGAACTCCTGACCTCAAGTGGTCTGCCTGTCTTGGCCTCACAAAGTGCTGGGATTACAGGCTTGAGCCGCCACGCCCGGCCAGTAACTTCTTACTTTACAAATGACACAATGCATTTTAACTCAACATTTGCTTTATCCCATATAATACAAACATAACAAAATACATTTAAAACGGTGTTGAAATATACAAAAATTTAATGTAATTTCTGAGTCTTAGATGTTTAAATAAGAAACTTCTTTAACCAGGTATCCCTTTGGACTGCAAGAGCAGTTTATATGATAACTTTGCATCATAATCTTTTTACTCTCAGGCTCTTCAAGCGTTTTTATCTTCTTTGAAACTTCTATCTAAACAAAAATAGTATTAAAAAAAAATAACAGAAGGGGTTAGAGTCTACCAATGAACTGTGGACATCAGTATCTCATTCTTCTGTTTGTCTCCTTATTCTAGTTTGAAAAAGCTTTGGAACATATTATTACCTATCATTATTACATATTTCATGTAGCTTTAGTGTTACTCCCCCAACTGGAAATAGAAGTTGCTCTTTAGTAAGGCCCGGGGTGCTTAGGGAGCAATGCAAGATTTTTCTTACATCTCTTGGGTCAACCCTATACAACTAATTCTGGGAAAGGAATTGTTAAAATACACTGTCCTTGAGAAGTGTCTTTTGGTCCATTTGGAGAAATGGTTAAAGATAGCTCAGTGCTTACAAGCGTCTATTATGATTACCCTCATGACAATAACTATTATTAAACTAAAAGTTACCTACTGCTTTATCACCCTTCCTCAATTTATGCTTTCTCACTCTTTAAAACGTTTACCCCCAAAGGGTGAAAATAATGCCTTAAAAATTGTACCTTCATTTACCTTTATTACACTACTTAATTGCCCATAGGACATCTAGCTCTCACAGTTTTATCATTAGAAGCAAAGGACTCACCAAATTTCTGAACCTTTTAAAAAGAGAAAATAAATGCCACAAGCATTTTCCATTTTAGTTTTGGAAATGTTCTTTTTTTTTGTATAAAGAGGGAAAATTAAATTAAAATAAAATAAAAAAAAAAAACCTCTTCCCTGAAAATATATGATGTTTGCTGTCTCAGTACAAATCCTGCAGAAGTCATCTAAGCTTCTAAGTATCGGTTTCCTTCCTGGTTAATAGCACAACCTGGATGTCAGACAGGCTGACCATGACTCAGAGTGGGACTCTAGGCAACTAGTGTCAATAGGCTTGGGGACCACAATGAGTGAAAACAAAAACCCTTCCTCCTCCATTGTGTGTTCTACGAGTGAGCAGACCTAAGAGTGGTGGTTTAAGCACTTTCTATCAGAATGGTGATTGCTTCAGCATTCTCAAGGAGATGGCAACATCATGGAGGGGCAGCAACGTGAATCAGCAACGTGGTATATGGGTCCCAATCAGCAACTGCTTCTGATTTGTTTTTAAAGGAAAATCCTTAGCTGGTTTTCATTTGAAGCCTGCTGCACATCACAGCATCAGGGAACATTCCACCTTGCTCCTGGGCCAGAGCAGTCTTTGGCAAGAAAGATCTATTCAAAGATGAACGACCGAGATCGGATCATACCTTCCCCTCGGTTGAGCTGTTTTCTTATTTGTGACTGTAATAAAGCACACACACGTGTATCCATTATTGAGTGATTGTAATGAACCCTGGATTCTAACAAATATTAAATAAGACATTTGATTAGTAAGGATGTCATACAACTATAAGTTAATTATCATGTGCCCACCCCCAACTACAAGCTAATTATCGTGTGTCCAGAAAAATTTTCTGCATTTTTTTTAGGACACATATTGTAAAGTGATTGCTAAAACATGTACAAATTGGGAATTGGTCTAATACTTATAGTAATCTATAAAATGCAATAGTATTCAATGAGTCAAAAGAAAAATATAGATCTAAAATTAATATGAAAAAATGTTCACAATATATTGCTAAGTGAAGTGAGCAGATATAGAACACCAGCAAGTGATTTGTTTTGTTTGTAGTTTGTATATTATCAATAAAGATGCTATGAACATTATCGTAACGTTTTTTAGTGGATACATGCACTCATTTCTCTTATACACCTCAGCGTGAAAATGCTGAATTATAGTGTAAGCATACGTATAGTTTTAAAAGAAACTGCCAAGCAATTTTTCAAAGTAGTCATACACATTTTCATTCCCTCTAGCAATGTAGGAGAGTTCTAGTTCCTTTGCATTCATGTTAATACTTGATATTGACAGTCTTCAGTTTATCCATTCTGAAGGGTGTGTAGTGGTACATCATTGTAGTTTTTACTGCTAGCAAGTGATTAAATTTTGTTTTTAAATATTTATTTGTACAGAGAGAAGTCTAAAAGTGTGTATACTTGATATATTGTTCTATAATTCTTGTATAATGATTCTGTGTTACTTTGATAATTAAAAATAGAAAGAATAAGAAATTAATTCATATCTGAGCAAAAGTTTCACAAGGCAAATTATCCCTCACTGAATAATAAATACATTGGAACAATTTAAAAATGAATGGTATACTTATTTGAATTTCAAACTGAAAAGATAATTGAAAGCAAAAGTCTCAGTATCTAGAAAGGAATTTTCACATATGAGACAATTTTACAAAAACTAGTTAAGAAAAATGTTTTATGTTTGAAATCATCTGGCTGGGCATGGTGGCTCACACCTGTAATCCCAGCACTTTGGGAGGCTGAGGCCATGGATCATTTGAGGTCAGGAGTTCGAGACCAGCCTGGCCAAAATGGTGAAACCCCGTCTCTGCTAAAAATATAAAAATTAACTGGGCATGGTGGCGGGCTCTATAATCCCAGCTATTAGGGAGGCTGAGGCACGAAAGTCGCTTGAACCCGAGAGGCAGAAGTTGTAGTGAGCCAAGATCACACCACTGCACTCCAGCCTGGGCAACAGAACGAGACTCTGTCTCAAACAAAAAAAAAAAAAAGAAAGAAATAATCAAAGCTTTCAAGATGGTATTTATAGGAAATTTTAGTCAGCTTTAAGGACAAGTTCTTGGCTAACAACTCACTAACTTGCAAGCACGTGAAAAACACGTAGAAGATTGGTGAAGTTTTGTAAGTACTCACTCAGTCTTCTCCCCGGGAGATATATAGAGAGCAGACAAAATAAACCAGCTTTTGTCCTTGACCTGTACAAAGTGATGCTTACACTGGAAACTAAGCTAAGTTCCTCTGGCAAACTTTCTTCTCTAACAATTTAAGAGGCTTTTCAACTAGAGAAATAGGTCGGCTTTCCTCTGTCAGACCTTCTAGTCCTAAATGTCCCCCTCCAGATAAAGCTGAACTAACTGACACACCTTAAAGGAAGTCTGATAGGTGGTTATTAGGCTAAGGCTCTATGTCTAAGACCCAAATACAGCTTAATTCTTCCTTTTTTACAACCCTGTCTTCATCTCTTCTCATGTCCCAGAAGAATTAACAGACTGTTCCGCAAGCCTGGAAGTAGGCACCCAGACACCTCTTTGATTCTCGGGGATAGTGTGATTCTTTTGATAGAAATATGTTTGAAATCATCAACATGTTATTTCTCAAGACTCGACATCTGAAGGCTTAAAACTCTCACCAGTTTCCAGCGTAATATCTTGATCCACTCATCAGCTTCTACTCCGGTCTTTGCACAGAGATAAAATGTCCTGAATGGAAATACCAAACTAATAGGACAAAAGAAAGAACATAAGATATTGCAGATGATTAGCTCTCTCTCTCTCTCACTATATATATATAGGTTGATTAGCTATATATATATATGTTGAACACTAATTAGAGTATTGCAAGGGAAAAATGAATTGATAAAGGATCCAGGTAAGTACCTTGAAGAGCTGGTATATATGGACCTATTACTGCTAGCAAACTGCAGAAATGTTAAGGAAGTTGTAGATTCATATTACTACTCCAGGTCAGATGTATATACTCGAATAAGACTTTGAAGAAGAAAGAAGCATGTTCAGGACACCCCCAGATCCTTTTGTGGTTTATGTCTTAGGCTAACTCTAATACTTCTGTATTTATTCAGCTGTTCTCTCAAAGATCTCTCAAAACCTTGTGCTATGATTCAAAGAATAAGCAAGACAGGAAAGTTTGCTAAAAAGAACTCATTTGTGTTAGCTTGCTTCAATGAGGATAACTCTGCCTTCTGTGGTTGTTGGCAATTTCAACTATCGAGACAGTAAAAAGAGACAACAAAACTCAATTAGTTATTTCTCCCATCTCTGAACAAGAGTCAATCTCTGCTTCAGGGATATGAACTTTCCTACTGGCACAAAATACTTTTCCTAGATATAGAGTAATTTTTCATTTGACTGTGTCTGATTACCTAGTTAAAATTATGCAAGTGATAATAAGGTCAGCCCTAAATTACACATTGAACATACTTCCTGTACTTACAGTTGAGATGCAAAATACTAAAAATCTTTTCTCTTTTTGTGAAAAAAAGCCTTCAGGAGGGTTTCTTAAAGCCTACGCTGTATATTTTGTTGATGCCAGCAATTAATATTGAATAGGTAAGAGGTAAGTCCTTGTGCATAGAAGGTAATACCTTGATGTGAGGTCTAGTGGAGGGTGAGTGGACAGTGGTGGGGAGGAGTGATAGAGTGCATATACTCGAAAACTGGTTTCTGTAATTGTCATTGTTTGGTACTCCCTATGGGAGACATTATTAACTGCCAATTAATACAGATACTTTTTCCTTTCTCTTGCTAACAGAACCCCAAGCAATAAATCCTAATTTGTTTAAGCCAATTATCACCAGCTGCTGGGGATGGCCATGACACCTGGTCTTGGCCAATGAGATATAAGAGACAATCTCATAGGGGAGATTCTGGAGAAACATTGGTTTTCCTGATAAAAAGGGACACACATGGCTGATACCATCCCTACATCTTTCTTTGTACTTTGTTGAAAACATGAGACCTACAGGTGTAGTAGACACTTGAATCCTGAAGTAGCCAGCATGAGAAAAGGCCAGGAGAACTGTAGAGACCCTGGACCTGACCTTGTCACCATAGCTGCTTGCCTCCTGGTTTTTGGATATATGAGAAAAATAAAGCTCTGCTAGCTCATAGGGCATGTCTGTGCAAATTTTAAACAAGACACCCATTCTCAGTTGATATTATAGAATTAACATTAATTTCCTCAGGTGTAATAATGATATTGTAGTCGTATAGGTGATATTTTATTCTTAGGAGACACATACTCAAGTCTTTAGGGGTAAAGTGCCATGATGTCTGCAAATTACTTTCAATTGATTCAGGAAAAAAAAAAAGTGGATAGACTGGGATAAAGCAAATATGGCAAGATATATTAATAACTGCTGATGGAGGGTATATAAACGTATGTCTTTCAACTTGTGTGTGCTTGAAAAACTTTAAAATAAAAGGTAGTGGGAAATAAGACATGCCTTTCTCAAGACTCTTCTCCCAGTTAGAACATTTTTATAATATACTGATTATGTTAGAAAAAAATATTTTTGTGCCTTCTGCCAGATATCATCATAAAAATACAAATCACCTATCATTAGAGTCAACAAAGTTATAATTAAAATGGGGGAGAGAGCCTCAAAGAAATTAAATTGTCTAAGATGTAAATGGCATCCTCTATGTGAGTCATACTTCTCCAGTACACAATGTAAGCTGAACTGGCCTGCCTGTTTGTTTAAGCTACTTTAAATGAGGTGTTATGTCACGCTCAGCTGAAAATACTCCTAATATGTAGGCATGCCCCTCAGATCTGAACTTTGTAGACATTGAGATATACAGCTTTCTATTCCTTAGCCAAAATAAGTGTCTGGCAAGAAGACATTAAAAAATGTTTTCTTAATAAAACGACTTACCAAAAACAGTTTACTCTTTCTTGTGAATAATCAAATTGTACAGCTGAACATTCTGTTAGGTCTAGGATCCGAATTGGTTCTGGTGACTAAATAAAATAAAAAGCAACATATATCATCTTAAAACAAAAACAAAAACAAAACAAAACAAAACAGAAAACAGACAAATCTGTCCCTCACTTATTCCACTCACAAGTCTTCCACTATGTGCAATTGTCAAATTTCACTAACAAGACTGACAATAGAAAAGCCCTACCACGGGAAATCCTTGGTTTTGGAATGAGCCTTTCATAAAACTGGACGTTAAGATACTGCCTTTATCAATTTACTGATGAAGATGGATTTTAACACATGGAAGAGAGGCATATTTTTCTCTCATTTTTTAAAAACTTCTACTTTCTTAGAAATTTTAGAAAAGTGAGAAAAAATAATTTTAAATTGGCTTAATGAAATGGGCATGGGAAATGGACAGACTGTATTTTTAATAAAGGGACAAATTGCTGCAGAGAGACAGTTAATAAATTGCGGCAAAAGAATAATTACATTGCCCTAAACAGAGGGAATTATGTGCTCTGGGGAACTATAGCCAATCCAAGAGAGCAATTTCTGGGATACACATCTCATCTTTGCAAAATAACTCTGTTCATTTCAGGAATCAAGATTTCATATCTCCAATCATTTATTAGGTGTTTCAGGTGGATATAAAAATAATTTCAGAGATTTTAAAGACATAAGTTTCTTTCATCTAGAGAATTGATTTTTAAAGGAAAAATATATTATCACGTTTCTCACCATCTGGTCTTTGTAGTATTTCAGTTCATTCCTGTGCAGAGTAAACCATCTTGTTTTCCAGGTCTGAGAAAAAAACACACACACAGAAACACACACACAAAGTTTTGAATGCAGGAATGCAATATTTGAACCAGATGATTTACTTTCATTTTAAAAGTATCTAAAAAATTAAATACTATAACCCCGAAAAAATTCTTGTGTGTCATTTCTGAGAAAAAAAGTTTTAAAATATCTATAAAAATTAAAATAATTTCTTGCATTAAGCTCATAATGAAGGCAGATATATCATTAGTATATTTTTAAATACAAAAAGAATTAGTCTATCGTAAATATTCAATATGATTTATAACAAAAATGAAAGCAGATATATCATTAGTATATTTTTAAATACAAAAAGAATTAAGTCTATCATAAATATTCATGTGATTTATAACAAACCACTACAATTTCCATTTTATTAACCCTATAATAAAGATAAATATTGTTCTTTGAGTACCTAATATGGACGATACACTATCGTTGGAGGCTTTATATATTATACTCAATCCTCACATACAATGCCAGTGTTATTATTCTTGTCTTACAGATAAGAAAACTGAGGTTTAGGAACCCTGACTCACATGCTATTCTAAACCTTGCCTAAGAACTCCAAGGTATCAGTGGTAAAAACCGTCGCAGCCCACTGTTACCCTCTTACATGCAAACAGCATCCTACTCTATCCTGTGTGGCAATGTGCCCAGTTAAAAGAAGTAACAGAGGATTTAAACATAAGTATGCTATGAATATGAATACTCTCTGTCCTCAGGGAGCATTTGATCTAGAAGGGACACAAATAACGAAATTATTTAGGCTAATTCCAAGCACGCCAGTACCTGTGAGAGGTTAAATACTGTGAATCTTAAAATAAGAAGGAACAGGCACATTCTATGAAGGTCTTCTTGGCACATCCAGATGAAACAAAGGAATTCTAAAAGCACAATCTCATAAATGGGGAACATTTGGATACTCTGAACTTGTAAAAACCTAAATTATGTTTTTCTTTGGATTTTATAACATAGTTTCAGTAGCATCAGTGATGTTTTGGGCCTATCTTTAAGCAAACATTTTATACAATTTTGACTTCTTGTTTTAGAAAAAGAACGAAAGATGTTCTAGGTTAACTTGCTATCTTCATCCTCAATCATTCCATTAAGAGGACTATATTTTATTGACTTTTAACTATAGGCTATACCTATGCAGGGCTTTGTCGAAGAATAGTCAAGTCATTTTCCAGAATTTCGACTAATGAGCCATAAAATGGACTCTTGAGTCAGGTAAATATTATAAGTGGGTTAAAATGAGCAGGCAATTATGCTTCCAAGAAAAACTATCAAGATGCGAATTGAATCTACATGACGTGTTTTCTTTTTCTGTGGCTGGCATGAGCAAAACCATACTTCCTTACCTTGACCAGGCCTCCCTGTTTGGTGAGGTAACCTTCTTTGGTGCCCAGCTGAAAAAGAAAAGCACTGAATGAAGCCCAGAACTGTCACAACAGGACGTTTCTCCTTCCTTTCCTGTCCTATTTTTAAATGAAGAATGTTTGCATTTGATCTTTAAATTACTGTCTATTTTTCACCTAGGCACTTGAAAAGCTTCCATGTGCTGAGAGAGATTGTTTTCAGATTGGATCTACCCGCGTCATTCGGTAGCTACTAACTCTATAGCAATTTGCAAACAGTAAACCACATTGTTTCACTTATAAAAGTCCGTATTTGTCAGTGTGTCATGTGAAATCCAGCTGTTTGGATTGTTACAGGGTTATTAGCACATAAACACGCACACATCTATTGTCAATACGTTTGGGAGACTGGATTAAGAAAACAAGGATGTTTTTACTTCAGGGCTTCCCAGAGTCTGTATTATGCTAATACACTTTGTAAATTTTTAAGAGGGAACCTTAGAAACAGCATTTTTACCATTTATTTTATCACATAATCCTCTTCCCCAGCTCCCACACTCTCTTGAGATCCATGTTCCGAGAAACAGACTGTCAGGAGTGTAGATTTATTTACACCTGATTTATCCAAAATGACTTTGAAATAAGAATGAGCCAGTTATTTTAACTTATGTTGTCATTAATTTAAAGGTAAAAACAACAGCACACACTTAGCTAGCACCAATGAATTACAAGGAAGGGTGGAGAATTGTGTGAACAGAAATTTGCATAAGACAAGTAGCCTAACATCAAAAAATCTATCATTTCATAAATTCCAGAAGAAATTCAATTCCTAGTAGAATATTTTGTTCAAATGTGATGTCATCATATGTCTTAGTAAGAAACAAAATTAACAAAAATTGGGAAGTGATTTGGTTGACACCAAGGTTCTTTCTATGGTAATTTCCAGAATATTTTTTTCTGGGGTGAATTCTCCCTACCAAATAAAAAGAGGAACAACCATCTCTACCACAATAAAAAGAGTTAAAGCAGGAAATAAGCAAATACTTCATTTAAAATCTTAAGATATAAAATTAAGGATAAACTACCCAAATGTTCACTTAAATAATATTAATCAATATTAGTGAATTTGATATCTCATAATCAGTGTGATTTATTTTGACATTAAAGAAATTGAATTGACACAATTGAGTTTAGGTGTTATGGAAGGGCAAAAAGTAATTATTTGGGGCTTCTACAGGTTAAAACCTGTAGAGGCAAAATAACTAGCAGTAAATGGTTACATAAAAGATCCTGATAGAATTATTTACTGAAATCAAGCTAGGGAATAATCCCATCTTACCTCCACCCAAACAATATGATATAAGTGTAGTATTTTTCTAAGGTTTTGATAAGTGGAAGGCTGCATGGGAAAGCACTGAGACTATTAATTTTATTCAGGGTCTCAAGATGATAAGAAAGTAAATAATTATAGAGCAGATTTATCTTTAAAAATCTATGATCTGTAACAGAAAAACTGTTTATAAGAGCCCCCATTGGGGTACCATCTAAATGTTCAAAAACAAAGGACTATCCTTTCTGCCATCCTACCTCCCTACTTGTCTCCCAGCCTTAAATGTAGTCAGAAGCCAACAGGTCAGGTAAAGCAAGGCAGGCATTGATGTGTGTGTGGAGGGCTTTCAAGCACCTTAGTACAAGGTAGTGGAGCCCAAGCAGGGCACAGGGAGCCTCTGTATGGACAATGGCGGTGACGGTGGCAGCAGCAGCTGTGTGCGAGGCATTGAAGCCTGGCAGGGTGTGAAGGGCTTCTGCCTGAAGGGGTGGATTGGGCAGCTACTGCACAGTTTCAGAGCCAAGTTGGGCTAGGTAGGCATCTGTAGTTAGGGTGGGAGCAGCAGTGGCCTGGAACTGGGCATTGAAGCATGACTGGGTGATTGGAGTGTCGGGGTAGGGGTTGGGTAGTAGAAATAGTGATGGGAGATTGCTTATAGTCAATTGATCATCCCATAAGTAAGTGTACTGACGATGATAAGATCCATATTTTCTCACTGTGGAGAAGGGAAAAAACTACAATGAACTTTGTGGTATTGGAAGTATTGTTGTGAACTCATGGATGGATGAATGAATCGATAGATAAATACAGATGTAAAAGTATGTATGTGTACATGTGTGTATACATACATATCTTCCCAGCTCTGCTCACTGAGTGGGCTGGGAGAGCGACATCCCAATAACAATAAGCACATAGTACCTAGATGTCGATTTCCAAAGTGCTATTCTGAGGAAACAGAGCAGGGTTTCTTGGAGAAATAGCTGGTTCTAGAGCAGCGTACAAAGAAAGAACAAGATAAGTCTGAATCATCCTGCTATTCAGAAAGTAAGAAAGTTCTTAAAGAATTTTGAGGCTAGGCCAGGCACAGAGGCTCACAACTATAATCCCAGCACTTTGGGAGGCCGAAGCATAAGGATTGCTTGAGCCCAGCAGTTCGATACCAGCCTGGTTAAAAATGGTGAAACCTTGACTCTACAAAAAACAAAACAAAACAAAACAAAACAAAAACAAATATTAGCTAGGAGTGGTGGTGCACACCCGTAGTCCCTGCTACTCAGGTGGCTGAGGAGGGAGAGTCACCTGAACCCAGGAGGTCGAGGCTTCATGAGCCGTGATCACACCACTGTACTCCAGCCTGGGAGACAGAGTGCACAGCGACAAAAAAAAAAAAAAAAAAAAAAAAAGGAATTTTGAGGTCGTATGAACACAGACACCATTGAAAGGGCTCTTTCCCCAACTGACCAAATCGGAGAAATTTTGAAGGATCAAAATAAATAATGATAGTTAGGATTATAACCATTTGATATAAAATGATTGAAAATTTTGAAGAATAAAAAGCTTTTCCTTACGGTAGAATGACAACCAATAAATGTAAAAAGGAATAAGAGAATCAGAGAGTCACCATTTGATAACAATCACAGTAATGATTAAAACAGCCAAGAAACATCAGTAAATGCTAAAATTGGCGAGTAAAAATTTAATAAGCAACAGAATATTCTTATAGTCTCAAACAACCTCTCCCCAAATATTTTTTAATAACAAAGGGAATATGGTGACTTTAGAGTGAAGAAACCTGGTGGACACCACTTAAGGAATCAAACACACCATAGTGGGACAGATTGCAATTGTGTTACGTCTGAGAGGATGCAGTGAGGAGCACAAACAAAGCATACTTTTGTGGTATTTGTACCCAACATGAAAAAACCTATATCTAATCATGATTCAATATCATATAAACCAAAGTTGGGGAACAATTTACAAAATAACTGGCCTTTAAGTTTCAGATGTGTCAAAGTCACCAAATTAAGGAAAAACTGAGGATGTGTTCCAAAGTGAAAAATATTCCAGAGACAGGACAGATAAGTGCAACTTGTGCTTGAGAACTGGATCCTTTTACTCTGAAGGACCTTACTGAGAAAACTAGTGAAGCTTGAATGAGATCAGTGGATGAAACAGTGGCACGGCCTCAATGTTAATTTTCTAGTTTGAAAGGCTCTATGTGGTCATGTAGGCAAATGCTGTTATTTTTGGAAACACACACTGAATTATTCAGGGTGATAGGGCATCATGTAGGCAATTTACTCTCAAATGGCTTGGGGAAAACCAAGTTCTGTGTACTATTCTAGCAATTATTCTGTAACTTTGACATTATTTCAAATAAAAAAGCATGTAAAAACGTAATAACGGATTAACTGAATAAACTGATATACCCAAATAATGGGATATTATGGAATTTGTTTAATGGTGTTTTAGAAAACTAAGTAATTACATGAAAAAAATGCTAAATATATAGTTAATTAAACAAGAATATTACAACTCTACAATGAAGAGCTCATTATTTTATGTGTGTGTGTGTGTGTGTGTGTATACACAAAAGACTGGAAGGATAAACAACAAAATATTAAACCTGAGAAGAGTTTCAAAAACGAAATACTGGAAAAGGGCAATATGCAAGGAAAGTGTCCAAGAAGAGGAACTACAAAATGTGTCAAAGATTACAGAATAAAAAGAGAAAGATATTGCCAAAGCTAAGGAAACAGAATTTTTAGAAGGAGGGAGTTGTTAAAAATGTCAAATACCACAAAAGGGAAGCTAAGGAAACTAACATTTTAGATAGGACCTATTATGTCAGGAACTTGAACTATATTAATTTCGATCTCTACCAATCAACTAATTGGTATTTCACATTTAACATGTCCAAAATAGAGCTCTTCTTTCTCATCCCCTTAACCCACCCCTCCAGCAGAGTCGGTCTTCTCAGTAAATAGCAGGGCTTCTCTGCCATGACTCTGCTACTCTTTCTTTCATGTATCACATTCAATCCATGTGCAATAATCTTTTTTAAACAAGCTCAGAAGGTAAAGAATTTTTATGTTGTGCACAAAAAGTACTATTGAGATTTTTGGGCAAGATAATTCTTTACCACTCTTTGAAGAATAGTTGGCCTCTGATCACTGTTGGGAAACAATTCTCTACGGGTCTCTTGTGTTTCCAAATGTCTTATGGGCAAGGCATTAACAGCTCTTTGTTGCAGACTGATATTTAAAGCATGCTTATACAAGCAGCCTTGGAATATAGAAATATTTCCCTTCAGAGCAAAAGACATGTCTACTGATCATTAGAAAAGATTTGGGTTCCCAAGGCTCAGGATTCCTCTCCTGTAGGGCAACCCATTATGGATATCAACTGGCCCTTTCAATGTTGCCCTTTGGGAACTTCGACTCAGCACAGGGAACTAGCACAAATACTGATATCCTAGCTCTTGCTCTTCCTGTGAATAACAAACTATTTTTCATCTCTTACCTAGAAGTCTTGTGTCATCCATCAGCATCCATGAAACTGTAGCAGGCTAACTTGTTAGCTTGCAAGCAGGGTAAAGTCAGACTCTTCATGGCTCTTGACACTCACTCATGATAGTAGTGCTGCAAAGCATTGCACCAGCAGAAACACTCATATTTCTAAATGTTCAGCTGGGAGGTGCTGCTCTTTGAAAACTCCATTGCCTTATGTGATCTGACCCCTCATTACCTCAATAATCTCACCTTCTACAACTTTTCCTCTAGCTCACTTCATCCCATAATTCTGACCTTTCTAGCCTTTGAAACACCTCAATTTAGTTCCCACTCCAGGGCTTTGGTACCATTTCCTCTGCCTGCAGCACTCTTTCCACATCTTGACATGAATCACTCCTTCCCTTCAATGAAATCTCTTACTAATGGTTCCTCCTCACAGAGGCCTCCCCTGCTTCCCTCTTCTCCCCTTATCCTACTTTTTCTTTTCATGATGTATTACCATCTGGTATTAGATTACTGCATTGATTATTGTCTGTGATCTTCACTAGAATGTGAGCTCAGTGAGGGGAGGAGGACCGTTGTCAAAATCACTGCCAAACTCCCAGTGCTTAAAACAGTTGTGAGTGTATTGGAAAAACTTTTTAAAAAAAGTTTGTTTAATAAATGAATTAATTAAATTTAATACTATCATGGGAACTCAATGCTATGTTGTTTATGAGACATAAATAGCAATTTCCCCAAATGCAGTTACTAAAAGATGTTAAACAGTTTTACACAATCGTCTGCATTTCTGGGCAGTGGGGCATCTTTCACTTTCACTTCAAACAAGAAGTTCTTTTAATTCTCTTCCTCCACTGCTAAACCTTGAGCCAGAACTACACCCCAAAAGGAAAATGCAGAAGTCTGAAAACCCTCAGGGCTCTCAGACTGGAGATGGAGGTGCAGCATCATGTAGCCATTTCGGGTAGCAAATGAAGGCTTAGAACTTGTGTTTGATAAGGGACAAGAGCATTCTGATCAGACCAGAACTCTTTCCCCAGTTATGCTGGTCCAGTCACCAATGATTTCTCAATAAGAAGTAATGAGAAACATTTCAGATCCTCTAGGAAACCTTTACAGGTTTTTTTGTCCATAGTGATGTACAATCAACTTCATAAGCTTGTCATTATACAGTGTGAGTTCAAGTCATTGTCAATCAATCACTCACCACTATTTTAAAAACTCCATTTTAAAAGAGGTGAATCCATCTGATAGCTGGAGTGAGCAAAGAAGGTAAGTAACAAGGTTTCCAGAATGTGCTTTAAAGAGGCTTATTTCTGCATAAGGATACTATATCTTCTGCTCACACCAATCTCACAAATTAGGTATTATCTGTATTTTGTTGCTGATAAAGAACACACTTAGTAGGATATGGTTTGATTGACCTTGAGTGGAGACCTTTAGGGGAAGTGTAGCAGAAGAGAATGTGAAGTTAAACTAACAGTGCAAATGAAATAGATGTTGAAGTGACTGGTGACCTACATTAAGGGTAAGGATGGGTAAAGAGGAAATTATGAAGGGACTTGTCAACTGGAAAACAAGAATTGGTTGCAGAGTAGATCTTGATTTGTTCTTTGCTCTTTTCTGCCTTTGGACTATTTATTGTCTTGTGCTCCTAAATTTCTCAAGTTCTGAGTTATGATGCCTTTTCCCCCACTTCTAACAAAGCCAAAATAACTTTCTCAGTCAATTTTCAGGATTTTTATTTCTGAGGAGATGTAGCACTGCAATGAAAATGTAAGATGTGCCATGAGCCAGACTAGGCTGTAAAGCTGCAAGGACAAGCAATGATTCATGTCCTTAGATGTTTCTGGCTGGTGGGGAGGGCAGAGAGATGTGAAGGTAATTAGCCCACAGCATGGTAATTTTAGAATAAAGGCAAACAGAGGGTGCTCTGGAGCACAGAAGAGGAGCGTTGTAAAAGAAGCTAGACGGGGTGAAGAAAGCCTTCCTGGAAGATACTGATCCCTGATAGCAGTCTTGAGGGATGAGTAGATAGCAATGGTGTTGGCAGCATTTCAGATGCAGGGACAGGAGAGAGACAGGTTTCACAGTGTGAGTGTGGGAGTAGCATGAGATGAAGACAGAGAGCCAAGCAGGGTCCAGGTGGGCCATGAAGACAAACGACACCACCAAAGGATGTAAAGCAGAGGTCACGTGGCAAGGCTTCTTTTTAAGACAGATCTCTCTGGTCAAGGGTAGAGAAAAGTACTGCAGATATAGAAAGTCACACTTATTTTAATGTAATTTGTAGCCGAATGTCTTCAAGTGATTATTTTTCAAGTGTCATGATTACTATCCAGAATTAGTTCTTGATATTTATTTGGGTATTATCTTCTTCATCATCTGCCCAAATCGAGGTTTCTAATACCAGTAGTATTCAGCAAACAAGGAAGAGACAACAAATAGAAGAGCCTTCAGAATAATGAAGGGAAAGGGGTGTTGGAGAGGAACCTCTGCAGAGTCACAGTTCACAAAACAAATGTAAACAGACTCTTGGACAAACAATGAGTGCCCCAGTTGCACTGAAACTGAACAATGGCTCACGTTGCAAAGAAGCACAAGTGTTTTCTGTCTGTAAACCTTAGTCAGTAAAGGAAAAAAGCTAGACAAAATAATACACTGAGTTTTTATAGTAAAGGTGGAGAATATTTGTCTTCCATAGGTAGTTGAAATATTAAAAAAATATATTTTCTTAATATAAGAAAATTGTAGAAGAAAACAGTTTAGTAAACTATGTGAATGCAAACTTCTCTTTCCCATTCTACTATGAAGTGGTTTGATTAACTAAGGACAGAGATTTAAGTTCCATTTTCTAAGTATTTAAAATCCTATTACTATTGTATTGCTTTCATTTGTTCGTTTTGAGACAAGGTATCACTCTGTAACCCAGACTGGAGTGCGGTGGCGCAATCACAGCTCTCTGCAGCCTCAGCCTCCTTGACTCAAGTAATCCTTCCACCTTAGCCTCCTGAGTAGCTGGGACTACAGGTTCATGCCACCATGCCCAGTTAATATTTTTAAAAGTTTGTTGTAGAGATGTTTATGTTGCTCAGGCTGGTCTCCAACACCTGGGCTGAAGCAATTGTCTTACCTCAGCCTCTCAAAGTGTTGGGTTTATAGGCATGAACCACCATGTCCAGCTGCATTGTAATTTTTATGATCTACCCAGGACCAGATGATCTGAGTCATAGGCTTCAAATCTTACATTCCTTTCCAAGTTTTATATTCCAAGCTAGAATTTTTATGTGAACAAATACACTCTTATTAACTTTTATTGAACTCGATTGATTTTAGACAGTGAGAGAGCTTGTGGTGACATTGAAGGTCACTTACAGAAGGTGCTGTGGGCACAAGGTCATTTTCTGTTCTTCCTGTCTGCATTGCTGTGTGAACCCGAACAGACTCATAAATGGAAGGTTCTTCCACTTTTCTTGGGTAGGGATGTTTTAGAACCATCAGAGTGCCTGAATGAAGACAAAAAGTATATAATCGAACAGTGTTCTCAGAAGGAAGGTCCAAACGCTAACTGGATAACTGTGGCTCGATTGGAAAGTCTTTTATTTTTTTCATGTATTCCCTCACTCATTTTCTCAACATTATCAAACATCAATTAGGTGTCAGGCACTTAAGCTGGACACTGAGATATAAAGCTTGATGGAGATGCTCCTTGGCCTCCTGGTGCTCAGAACTGGTAACAGATATGGTCGTTTAAATGAACAGGGTGATGAGACCAATGGCAGCCATGTGAGTGAAGCATGATGATGGTCCCCAGACTGCCTGAAGAACCTTTCCATGAAAGGATTCAGGACAGCTTTCATAAAGGAGGTGACGTTTGACTTAGATCTTAAGTAGTAACTGGAAGTTTCCCAGGAAGGCTTTATGAAAGCCATGAAAACAAGACTAAACAAACGCACTGGGATAGAGGAAGATCTATTCTATTGCCCTTATTTTTGCCGGTTTCAGAATAAACTTGTAACAAATTAGTGGATTTCAAAAAAGTGAGCATTCTCCCTACTCTCTGATACTACCCAATTAATGAGAGTAACCAAGCAAAGTCTTCGCATTACTAAGTGAACATGACCTGAACAAGCTGGTGCTCACAAGTGATTGCCTCCCCTTCCACCTGGAGGGGGAGCCTTCAGGCAGAAAAAGGGCTCAGCCCAGGGGGCCAGGAATAGGGGGCTGGGGAACTTTGTTCCAAGGGCTCAGAGCAGTTCTGAGTCTATGCTTCTGACATTTCCTTCTTGAAATCCTTCCCTCAATCAATCAGTCAATCAGAAACTAACTACAAAAAGAGGCAACTTAAGGGGATTTTTTTTTCTTCCTTGCTATGGTTTCTTGCTTTTAATTTTACTAGGGTCTTTTCTACAGCAGTCCTAAGATTGTACCAGAGATGGAAGAGATGTAAAGAATTCAGCAATTCATTCAACGAATATTTACAGAGCTTTGCACTGTGCCAGGCACTTGTCTAGGTACTGGGAATACAACAGCAAACAAAGGAGTTTAAATGCTCTTATGGAGCTTATGTTCTAGGTAGAGGAGACAGAAAAAAATTAAAAAAAATATTTTATGTGTGAGAAGTGCTATGGAAAAAATGAATAGGGCATGGTAAAGGGATAGAGAATAAAAAAGGTGGGGTTGGGAGAGGGTGACATTTTCCAAGAGTCATAAGGAAGGGCGTCTGAAAATATTTGAAAGATTCTGGAAAGTAGAGAACCTGAATTAGAGTAAGAGAAAGAAAATGAAAAATATCTCCTCTGTGGTTAAAAAACACCCTAATGTTAATGATAAATCTACACAAAACAGGCCGGGCGCAGTGACTCAGGCCTGTAATCCCAGCACCTTGGGAGACAAAGGCGGGTGTATCACGAGGTCAGGAGATCCAGAGCATCCTAGCTAACATAGTGAAACCCTGTCTCTACTAAAATACAAAATAAATAAATAAATAAATAAATAAAGAGTTGGGCGTGGTGGCAGGCACCTGTAGTCTCAGCTACTCGGGAGGCTGAGGCAGGGAAACTGCTTGAACCTGGGAGGCGGGGGTTGCAGTGAGCCGAGATCACAGCACTACACTCCAGCCTGGGCGACAGAGAGACTCTGTCTCAAAAAAAAAAAAGAAAAATCTACACAAAACAAAATCCTTCTGTGATACTTGAGTACATGCAATATCTAACTGCAAACACAGAACTGTGGCTTTTGACACTTGGGCCCAGATAAGGTGCTGCTGTAAAATGAAAAGCTGTTGAGAAAAGCCAGAAGAGGGTGTCTGATCTCGACTTCAGAGAAGAATGAAAGCCTCCGGCCCTTCCTCTTTCTGCCTCTCATTGGCATTGCAGCATGGGGATCACAATGAAAAATGGATTTCGCCATTATCAGAACGGTCCCATTCTTGTACATTGTCTGTGCTCTCTTTTGTCGATGTGATCTTCCCATAAGAACAGAGCCAGTCATATGAAGAGAAGGGGTGGACTACAGTTTTACAGTCAGAATGAAAAAAGCAGTACCTATATCAAGAGTAGCCGCTGTGCAGACTCAGGGGCTCTGTGAACACAGTGCTCACATTGCAGATGCATGGTAAATTCAGCGCTGGCTCTTACCCCTAAGAAACACTCCCAGTGATGTGCCTCATAGTCACTCTGGACCCTTGGAAAGAGCACTGGATGCATAGGCAGAGGAACAGGGTTCAATTGTCACTACTGCCATTCAGTACTTATTGGCCTTGGACAACCATTACAAGCTTCTGCTCCTTTTCTGACTAGTGAGAATAACTATGCTTCTTTCAGAAGGCACCAAATAAATGTTGGTGGGAAAATTATAACATATTAGATATTATTATTCTTTGACAGAATATTTTTAAATCCTTAAATAAAATTTGAATGATCGCATCTTTGGGGACATGAATTTTGAAATCTTAAAAAAGACCTAGATGCAACATTCTACTAGGAATAAAAATGGTGGTAGTCAGTAATCACTACTTGTGATTACTAGAGTTAAATTGGTGCCTCTTAAACACTTTCACCCTGCAGAAGAGGAGAGGGGAATTGAAGCCTAGGGATCAAAGCAGCTCCCAAATTAGATACATTTTGAACTCATATGCTTTATCTTCAAAGTTGATGCTTAATTTTCATTCTACTTCATATATTTAATACTTAATATGAAAACAATGCTTTAAATGACACTCCAGAAAGATGTACTCACTTGATATGACCAGACACACACTTCACATAATAATACCTGTGTTAATTTTTTTTTTTTTTTTTTTTTTTTTTTTTTGAGGTGGAATCTTGCTCTGTCACCCAGGCTGGAGTGCAGTGTCACGATCTCGGCTCACTGCAACCTCTGCCTCCTGGCTTCAAGCAATTCTCCTGCCTCTGCCTCCCGAGTAGCTGGTATTACAGGCATCTACCACCACACCTGGCTAATTTTTGTATTTTCAGTAGAGATGGGGTTTCGCCATGTTTTGGCCAGACTGGTCTCGAACTCCTGACCTCAGGTGATCCACCCACCTCGGCCTCCCAAAGTGTTGGGATTACAGGCGTGAGCCACCGTGCCTGGCCTAATTTTTTATTGCTATTGTAGCAAATTCCCACAAACATAATAGCTTAAAACAACTCAAATTTATCATCTTACAGTTCTGGAAGTCAGAAGTTTGAAATGGGTCTCACTAGTCTAAAACTGGCAAGGCTGTTTTCCTAGTGGAGGCTCTAGGGAGGATTCATTCCTTTGCATTTTCCAGCTTTGAAAGGTGCCCTCATGTCTTGACTTATGGCCATATTCCTCTGTCTTCAAAACCAGTAACAGCCAGTCAGATCCTTCTCCTGCTGCCATCTTTCTGGTTCTCCCTCTTCTGGCTCCCTACTACTTATAAGGACCCTGTCAATTACAATGGTCTCACTTAGACAATCTAGGATAATCTCCCCACCCCAAAGTTATCTGATCAGCTGCTTTTATACCATCTGCAAACTTAATTCCCTCTTGCCATGTAACAATATATTACAGGTCCAGGGAGACATGTGCACATCTTTGTGGGGGCATTATTCTGCTACCACAGTATCAGTCCCTGTAGGAGAAATGGCTGCCGGGGCCAGTTGTGCTGCAGGGTAAGGATCTCTGGGCTGGGCTACTGCCTGAGCCTGCAGTGCTGTTACCTCTTGGTATTAGAGAGCCACTGCCTTTCCAATGTGTGCATTTCCAACCTCTGTGAGCCTCTTCAGCCCACATATGGGTCAAATTTATCTTTGTATCCATACCACCTGATACAGTTTCTGACATAATGAATGCAGATGAGTAAATGAATTAATGAATGAACGTTACTGTAATGCAGACTTGAGCCAGGAAAGAGCCTAGGATGAACCAGCCTCCCAGGTCCACAATTCTCCAGACCTAGGGCAAGAAAGGACAACAATCGCAGGCACAGCTCTTCAAATCTCTAGTGGAGGAACCCAAATTCTATTGTGAAAATCTCCTCTAAAGTTTAATTCAACAAGAGTAAAACAAAGGAAAATGGTATTGAGTCAACCAGGAGAGTAGATCTGACTGTAGATTGATTTTAACTAGTAACCCCACAAATGAGGCTAAACTAAATTGTGAGATGAAGAAGATGACAATGTACTTATAAAATAGCAACTTATATGGATACAAATCTGGTGTCCTAAAAGACAGTTCTCCTTAGCTGACTATTCTTGCCCAAGGAAAAGCCAATATACAGACTTCTTGGCATGGCTGTGAGGCTTAATGATTTCCCCTTCTGCAGAGATTATACCTCCCAGTGTACAGAGATAGATTCCCTACAACCATGTAATACCCCCAGACCTGGCCCTGCCTTCGAACACCTGATCTGGTCACACTAACTGGATTCAATTCTTGGGTATCCACTTAATTACTTCTCTAGAGAGAAGGTCCACCAACTTCAGTTTCTGAACTACACGAAGTAGACTATTGTTTCCTGCCTTTGACATGAAACCTGATTTCAGAAAGACTGGGTGGAGGTACACTTCTGAGACGATCACAGCTGAATTAAGACTGACATATCAATTGACTGGAAGCCTCAGAGTTGCCATGATTACTAAGCAGATTCCTTGTTGTCTCTTGGTTGTTCAACTTGCCCTTAAATTCTGGGAGGGTATATTGTTAATATCCTTTTCAAAAATTCTGCTTCTGGGCCAGGCACAGTGGCCCACGCCTGTAATCCCAGCACTTTGGGAGGCCAAGGCGGGCGGATCACAAGTTCAGGAGATCGAGACCATCCTGACTAACATGGTGAAACCCCGTCTTTACTAAAAAAGAAAATATAAAAAATTAGTCGGGCGTGGAGGCACACATCTGTAGTCCCAGCTACTCGGGAGGCTGAGGCAGGAGAATTGCTTGAACCTGGAAGGCAGAGGTTGCAGTGAGCCAAAATCATGCCACTGCACTCCAGCCTGGGCGACAGAGTGAGACTCTATCACAAAAAGAAAAAAAATTC